GGAGGGGCGTATGCGTGCGGTCCGGGCGTGCAGATCTCTGGGTGAGCGCACCATCACTGAACTCATCCTGCAGCACCAGAACCCACAGCAGCTCTCTGCCAACCTATGGGCCGCTGTGCGGGCACGAGGCTGTCAGTTTCTAGGACCTGGTGAGTGTCTTTGCATTGCATTTCTTTGCATTTCTTCATTTTATTATCATCATTAAAGATATATACCTGGTTATTTTTGCATATTTCAGGTTATTTACAACAATTCATGTCATGACCAGAAAAATTTAAATCTGAGTACTATGAAGGAAAGTGGAAAGGATGTGACATAAAGGAGCAGGGCTCTGGAATTATATCTATAACATATTATCAGAACCTTTGGAGAAGTAGTTCCACTTCAGAAGGACAATTAGATGACTTTACAGCAAACATTTTGTGCTGAGCTTTAAATTTCTTCTTTTAAACTATGTTTTTCAAAGGCCAACGCTGATAGTGAAATCTAGAGAGCAGAGTATAATGCAGATAACACATAATAAAAAATATAATGACAGTGAATGAGATTTACACAACTTGGAAAAAAAGAAATAGTTTATTATTCATTGACAAGTCTGTCGGTAGATTAGTAGACTAATGGGAACAATGTTTGTCCTAATGTCCCAAGTGGCTAAAGTTGCCAGAGCGCTATTGTAGTTTTTTAGTATTAAATATATTTTATAGTTTTTATTTAGTTTATATGATTTTTTAAAAATAATATAATATATAAAATACCATTCAGAAGTCTAAAAAAATTTTTTTTGAAAGAATTTAATACTTTTATTCAGCAAGGATGCATTAAATTGATTAAAAGTGAGAGTAAAGATATTTACAATGTTTCCAAAATATTTCTATTTTAAATAAATGCTGCTCTTTTGAACTTTCTGTTCATCAAAGACAAGAATCATGTGACACTGAAGACTGGAGTATCGATGCTGAAAATTCAGCTTTGATCACAGGAATAAATTACATTAAAATATATTACATCGAAAACAGTTATTTTAAATTGTAATAATATTTCACAATATTACTGTTTTTTTTCTGTGTTTTTTAAACAAACAAATGCAGCCTTGGAGAGCATACAGTTCTTTCAAAAACATTAAAAACTATCAACCTCAAAGTTTCGAATGGTAGTGTATATTTTTATAGTTTTTGTTTAGTATAGTTTCAGATAGGTATTAAAATTGATTCTGTATATTGTATCACTGTAATTCTATAAAGGTTTCTTTTACATTGGTGTGTCTTTTTACAACCTTTTTTAGTATTTTGTTTAGATTAAATAGTCTGGCTGATAATGTTGTCTGTCGCAACTTGTAAATAATCCGAAATATATTACTTTAATGCATGTGAAGGGAATATCCAAATGTGTGTTTGTGCTTGGCTGTCAATGATGATTACTCATAGGGCAGATTCTGACTGGGACAACACTGATTTTCCCATCTGATCTCATTTTGAGTTTTCTAGTCTGAGAACACCCAGAGCATGAATCTGTTCGTCTGACCAAGCACACATTGCTCGACCCAAGCACTAACTGTGTGTCTCTGTCCATATGTATCGCAGCCATGCAGGAAGATGCTCTGAAGCTGGTGCTGCTGGCTCTGGAGGACGGCTCGGCTCTCTCGCGGAAGGTTCTGGTGCTGTTTGTGGTGCAGAAACTGGAAGCGCGCTTCCCTCAGGCATCTAAGACCAGCATCGGTCATGTGGTTCAGCTGCTGTACCGCGCCTCCTGCTTTAAGGTCAGAGCTAAAATCAGCTTCCTTTGCGCTAAAACCGCTGATCACTTAACAGCCATTACGCTCAGTACTCCTTCTATGTGGACTAGGAAAAGAGTGATCTGATATGTTAAGCCTGCCGTAACATGATATCATGTGGACATAAAGTGCTTGGCAATGGGAATATCTAATAAACTGGATATTTGTAAATGAGCTCGAGTCCTTTACTGGAGCTTGATTTACTGTGGCACCTTATGAATTCAATAATTTCCATGAAATGTCGATCAGCGGTGCTTGTTTGGCTCAAGTTGAGTGTGGTAATTATGGGGCTTGCGCTAAACTTATATGCATTTCTCTTGATCTTTTGTCAGGTGACCAAACGTGATGAAGACTCCTCCCTCATGCAGCTCAAGGAGGAGTTTCGCACTTACGAAGCCCTGCGCCGCGAACACGATGCTCAGATCGTTCACATCGCAATGGAAGCGGGACTGCGCATCTCACCGGAGCAGTGGTCGTCTCTGCTGTATGGGGATCTCATGCACAAATCTCACATGCAGTCAATCATAGACAAGGTACCACATGTATATTGCACAAAGCTTAAAAATTAAATAATAATATAATAATAAATATATAAATAATTAAAATACGACATCAAATAATATTGGAATAATAATTTGGAATAATAATTGGAATAATAATTTAATACATTTTTATAAGTCTCTCATGCTCACCAAGGCTGCAATTATTTGATCAAAAATACAGTAAAACCAGTAATATTGGGAAATATTATTACAATTTAAAATAACTGTTTTCTATTTTAATATATTTGAAATTGTAAATGTATTCCTGTGATGGCAAAGCCATCTCAAATTATCCATTTTTGTTGTTTAATATTTTTGTAGAAACCATGATCATTTTTTTTTTAGGATTCTTTGATCTAAAGGACAACATTTATTTGAAATATAAATCTTTTCTAATATTATAAATGTCTTTACTGTCAGTTTTGATCAATTTAGTGCATTCTTGCTGAATAAAAGTCTTAATTTCTTTTACACCAAGCCTTTGAATGGTATTGTATCATGGTTTCCATAACAACTGTTTTGAATATTGATAATAGTAAGAAATGTTTCTTGAGCAGCAAATCATATTAAATCTTAATGAAATGATTTCTGAAGGATCATGGGAAACTGAAGACTGGAGTAATTATGCTTTGATCACAGGAATGAATTACATTTTAAACTGTCATTTTAAAATTTGAATAATATTACACAAAATTACGGTTTTGACTGTTTTTATCATATAAATGCAGCCTTGGTGAGCATATAAGACTTCTTTCCAATCAAAGATCATAATTATTCCAAACTTTTGACCAGTAGTGCAAAATATAGTAAAGCAAATATTTATAGATTTTTGTTGAATGTCTTTGGAATTTTTTGTCTATTCTGAATGCATTCGTCATTTCCACCCCATTGCCACAGCTTCAATCCCCAGAATCCTTTGCAAAGAGCGTGCAGGAGCTGACCATAATCCTGCAGAGAACAGGAGACCCAGCCAACCTCAACAGCCTCAGAGCTCCTCTCGAGCTGCTAGCCGGCATCGACCACAACCCTGGTGAGCACGCGCACTCACACTTCCACACGGATGCAGACACAATCAGATTACATAGCAATAACCTCTGTGTGTGTGTTTGTAGATGCGGCCGCTCCGTCCTGGACAGAGCTGGAGAGTGTGTTATTGGCTGTGAAGGTTGTTGTCCACGGGTTGGTGGAATTCATCCAAAACTTTAGCAAAAAGAGCAATGAAAGCCCTCAGGTACAGCATGAGCTCTCACTACACTGTTTCCGGATGTGTTCTCCTGAATACATTCATTCCACGTCACTTTAAGTACAGCTGGCCAAAATGTCAGTTTTATCAGGAAAGTCAATCAATGAATGTTGTTTTGACACTGTTTAAAGGGTTAGTACCCTCATGTCGTTCCAAACCCATAAGACCTTCGTTCATCTTCAGAACACATGCAGTATTAAGACTCTGAGAGTTCACTGACCCCCCCATAGACAGCAAGGGTCCTACCTAAGGCCCAGAAAGGTAGTAAGGGCATTGTTAAAATAGTCCATGTGACATCAGTGGTTCAACCGTAATTTTATGGAGCTACAAGAGTACTTTTTGTGTGCAAAGAAAACAAAAATAATGACTTTATTCAACAATTTGTCTCCTTTTTCTGATCACGTATCTTTACTGAGGGTTGGTTAAGTGAAGCTCACCAAAATGTAAAAATGTATCTCTTACAAAATTGCCCAATCAATGGTTTTTCGCAGGAAGACATAAAAAAGTCTTTTTTTTTTTAAAGAACTTGTCATCTAATGTTATAAAAGTTATCCAGTGTTCATCTAATATCTAGAGAAGAGCATATTGATAAACTATAAACTATAAA